ACTGATGTTGTAACGCAAATCGAATTATGAGACTGTGTTGCACTTAAAGAAAAAAACTCTAAAATTAAAAACGTATCAACATAGTAACGGAAATAGATTTCTTGCGTAGAGTTTCTAGCTTTGAATTTTGAATTTGAAAGATGAATTAACTAAATACAATAACGATCAATGCATAGAATTAACTATTTGATTTGAGTATCGAGGAAACATAATAGGCGAAATCAGATATAAATAGATAGCATGCATACATTCGATGAAACACACACACTTGAGTTTATTCTTTAACAACAAAACGAAGAAAATAGCCACTACCATGAAATTCGTCACTTTTGGTTTGCTACTTGTTCTTCTTTTCTCCGTTGGTTAGTTTTTAAGCTAAACATTTGATTTTTATTCTTTCATTACAAACTTTGTGACGTTTTCAACTTTTGAGCAGTGTCGACCGTGAAAATGTACATATTTACTATACATATCATTCTTGTATAATCCTCTAGATAGCTTTTAAAATTTTTTGTTCCTTTTTTTGTTGATGTTGAAGGATCGATTTCTACGGAAGGTGGTTCCTTGTGCTGCAATACACATCCGAAATTCGGAGTATGCCATCCATCAAAAGATAATGACAGATGCAACAGTTGGTGTCTTGCTGGTTGTGATAATGGCAAAGGAGGTTATTGCAAACCTCTTCCTCGTGGAGCACAATGCCATTGTTTTTGTTAAGGATCCGTTTTTAAGTTGGTGGTTTGCAATTGCATCTATTGCAATATATGTATTTTTTTTTTGCTAAAAAAAAAAAAAAATCTTTTGCAATATATGGTCACCACTAGATTATATCATTGATACGTTAGTTTTTTTTTATATATTTTGGAATTATGTCAACATAATTGAGAAAATGTGCCTTGTCTTAGTCATAATTTTAGTATGATACAATTCTAATAATAAACACATGTCTCCTCGTTTCTTTTTTGGTTAGTTTGCTGAATTTATTTTTATCCACAACTCTTTTTATCTGTTTTTAGCAACATGATCTGTCATGTGAAATATATGATCCGTATGTATGTAGTAAATATATGCTACATGATCTATCATTGTTTTTCAGTTTCCGTAATTTCAATTAATTTGCCTGTGACAAAAAAATAAAATAAATAATATGAGGTGAAGTGGACCCCATTCGAGATTCATCTTGGGAAGAGAACTACTTGCCGTTTCAATTTCGGGATGATCCACTCTTTGACGTTTTTATTTGCTATCCCTACGAAAAAAAAAGCGAACTTTTTTTGTAAATTACGGGCCAAATCAGCAAGAACCGAACACACAAACAAAAACGAGAGATTTCGTTATCCACTAAGCTTTTCGTTAGCTCCTGCCAATTGCCAAATCATCATCAATCTTTCTCAGACTCCAAGCTCACAACAACAAAAATGGCTTCTTCTTCTCCATCTCTCCTTCTACCACTCGGTAAGAACTAATAACCTGAGCTACTGAATCTGTTTTCTGGGTTCCTCTTCTTTTCGAAGATGAAATTTTATCCACTTAAATTACTGAATCTCTTTTTTCTGAGAAAACATCTCATCTTTCTTGGTTTGAATAATTGCAATTAGAATTATGGATTTCTTAACCATTCTTTACTTCTATTAGTTTTGGGGAATCTGATATTTCTGGTAATGTATTTAGGTTCAGCATCTAGAAATGTTCAAACTTTCAAGTATCCAAATACATCAAGATGTATAGCTACAAGAGTCATAGCTTCAGAAACAAGAAACAAAAGTAATCTTTCTAGCCGTAGAGACGCAATGCTGGTGCTACTCGGCGTGTCATCAGGATTGTCAATGAACTCGCTTGCGGCTTATGCAGCCGGTTTGCCTCCAGAAGATAAACCGAGAATTTGCGAAGCAGAATGCGAGAAAGAGCTTGAAAATGTATGGTGAGATCACACACAAACACCTTTTTTTGGCTTTCTATATAACCTTTTTATAATTCATTGAGGATTGATTATGCCTTTTGTGCCAACATTTTGGTTTTTTTTTCTGTTGTTTTTTGATTAAAGGTTCCAATGGTAACTACAGAATCAGGACTTCAGTATAAGGATATCAAAGTCGGTACAGGCCCGAGTCCACCGGTTGGTTATCAGGTAAAGGACTGAATCAAACCATTGTAATACATAGGGAAACAGTATTTTATAGATGGTAATATGTTTCAAATGTTGCAGGTTGCTGCTAATTATGTGGCTATGGTTCCATCAGGGCAAATTTTCGACAGGTGGTGATCTTACTCAATCCATACAAAACCAAACAATTTGATATTCGTAGCTGATTTAATTATATCCTCGAATCATATTAGCTGAATGAATCTACTATCAAATGTAGTTCTCTGGATAAAGGTCTACCGTATCTGTTTCGCGTTGGGTCTGGTCAGGTAAATCTTCCAGTATTCATCGAGCTGTTTCTATCGACATTGCCTCATTGGGGTCACAAAAGTAGTGTATGATACTTTTAAACAGGTGATCAAGGGACTTGATGAAGGAATCTTGAGCATGAAAGCTGGTGGAAAACGCAGACTCTACATTCCAGGGCCTGTAAGTGCTCATCAAGATTATACTATACTAATCATTTTTTTAATGTAACATAGATTCTAACTTTTCTACAATTCTTGGTTCCGTGAATGTTACACCGTAAGTTGGCGTTTCCAAAGGGTCTAACCTCAGCTCCAGGGAGGCCGAGAGTTGCACCGAACAGTCCAGTGGTATTTGACGTGAGCTTAGAGTACATACCAGGGCTCGATTCAGACGAAGAGTGAAACTTTTGTTTAAGTGAAAATCATAATCTGAAATACACACCCAACTATTACATGATGATATCTCATTCGTATTTCAATTCTTTGTAAAAAAAAAACTATGCTTTTTCAGTTTATTCACCATTAGGCCCCCCCTAATTTTTCTTTTTACTTTGGCAATTCGATACGTATTCTTTTAATTAGAGTGTTTGCTTATATGTTTTGGGCATTCTCATATGTATTTTGCCAAAATCAAGGTAGAACTTAACTCAGAAACAAATTAAAACCGGATTTCATGCTCGACGAGATCATTGGTCATAAATCGGCATCGATATGGATGCCTTTTTATTCAGAGTATTATACGTTTATAAAGTTACATTAACGCACAAAAAATGTACTTAGACGTACTTGGTTGTCTTGTAAACACGAGTGCTATGATATCTAATTAATCTCCCTGCTTATTAGGCTTTGGAAAGTTTTTCCAACCTTTAATGTTTGTTTGAATGAGTTGGTTACGGAGTTTCTATTTACTTGGACGATTCACATACATTATTATTACACAAACCATAAGTAAAACATTATGCAAAAACATAACAAAAGATCCAAATATACGGTGGTTGCGTCTGCGTCCATATTTGTATTAGCGATCGCTTAGAGTTCGATCAGGTAGGGCGAATCGCTGCAGAAGTTGCAATAGCATTTAACATCACCACCTTCTTCGTATTCCGACATGCATTTTCCGCCTTTGGTCCACTTATCTTTTTTGCAATTCTGATAACAGAAAGATGAAAATATCAGAGGCGCACAAAAGGGGAAACCAACGTCACCGCCATATTCTTTCAGGCACTCGCTATCGTGCCCTTCTATCCCCGGCATTTCTGTTATAGACACGAGCATATAGAAGCACAAAATCATGTACTTCTTGCGATTATATAAAAAATTAACTTAAATTTACTAACAAATATGTCAAGAAACGAGTCCATAGTAAGTTTAATTACCAGAGACAACCAAGAAAAGGATGGTAAAAAGATGGAAAATGACTTTATGCCTTGGCCATTTTTTCTTTCTATGTGTCTCACTTTGGTTTTTGTATGTAATAGTGTGATACACTTGGTGTGGGTGTGGGTGGACCTTTAGGACCAAACCGTTTAGCATCTCATCG